TTGGGTGGCCTGGCTAGGTTGTAAAATGCGAGTGCATTGATCGTAGTTAAATATTGGAGAGCATTAGGGTGATCGTTTGCATTAGATCATTGTCGAACGACGCCAAAGAGGTTCTCAAGCCTGTCCTGGCTCAAATTCGCGGTCATTACGTAGCTAAACCCGATAGTGTTAATATAGACAAACTGGGGCTCAGCGCTTCCCACACACGATGCTGACCTCGTACACTAGCAGTTGAATCAGTATGTCGGGTAGGCTGGAACACAACCTGAGACAAGCTAAGATCAGAGCAGAGGTTACGAAAGTTTAAATTGTGCGAAGAACAGCTTACAGCAGAGGGAAACTCACGAGAGCAATGAATGTGCGGAAGGTTAAAATCGCATAGTAAAAACAGTGGTGTCAAAGGAAATCTAAAGAAAATAGCATTCAGAACATCATATAAAAAAAACTCTAGTGGCATTAGGGGGTCGATAGCAGGCGTACAAAAGAAAACTCTTATATGTACACTGTAATTGTACACAAAACAATTCGAATGCGGTAGCAACATTTACGCAAAAGTAGTAAAAAGATTCATTAACTGCTATTCAAACCCCGCCTCCCCTCCAGGACGTTCTGTCGCAACGATAAAAATGGAAACACCAATCACACTTCAAAATTTCAATGTCACGGACTGAACTTGATAGCCAACTTTCAGTCAAGACTATAATATCACTTGATGATGAATCGATAAGGCAGGCCAGATCGTCGCGGTTTTGAATGACACTTCAATATTAGTAAACAATAGTGGAATTCCATCAGAAAAACGGACGGCCCGAGCAGCACGAATTTTGGCCAAGCATTGGCCATGACTGGCGATGGTCTTTTAGCAAATGGCGAAAAAGTGGCCATTCACCAGCCTATGCTTGGCCGATGGCTAATGGCCAGTTACCATTGGCCAATGGCCAGAGAAATGCCAGTCATCCGCCTTTGGCTGGCCACTGTCTTACCACTGGCCAAAGGACCATTTCCTACCATTGGCCAATGATTGGTCAACTCTGTGCTGCTTGGGGGTTACGACTTTCTCTCTCTGTCTCTCGTGTAGTTTTTTTGTATTCTTCACGATGCTGAATCAGCCGGAATACTAGGGGCAGTAGCGTTTACTACATCATCGGTCACAACACGCTGCCTGTAACTGGGTTGTGTTCCACAGACGTTACTGGTGTTTGGGCAGTAGATACAGCACGTATTGTTAAAATGTAGTTTATCAAACCGCAGTTTAAAGGGCTCGTTCACCTCCTTTGCAAATTGAATGAGTTTCATCCTAGTATTGCGCGTTTCAACTAATAAGTCTTCCGCTATAGAAATGTTAGTACCAGGAAGTTTGGGTTTAGAAGAGACCAATTGTTCTTTAGTCTTCAAAAAAAGAAAATAGGTCAACGACTGCATGGCACGTGCTGTTGTTAAAAACACGATCCAGTCTGTGCGCGCAAACGGTACAGTCAGAGGTGATGTCTATTTGAGGAGGCAAAGTGAAGGCCACCTCGGTAATTTGATAATTAAATAACGTCTATTGGCGGCGTTCGCAAATTTCAGGAGGTGCTTCTCTAGCTATCACCATCAGTGTTTGTGACGTCACGGGTAGGGCAGACTAAGAGTCCTCGCAAACGTGGGATTCCTTCGTTCGGCAGCTAGCCTGGTGCGCTCTTTGAGGAACGCGCGGCAAAGCCTGTTTCACGCGGCGGGTTCAGTTGGTGAAGCGATGTTTGTATAGTATGCCATTTTACCGAAGCTTGAAACCGTGTCACGCGTAGTCGTGCTAACAAGCACTTTTGGCGCTCAGAGTTAGAAACGTTGGGATGATGCTGCGCTGTTCTATACCTCATTTCAAAAAGCTGGATGACTGAAATATAATATCTAGCACTTTACCCCAATACAACGTCTACGACGGCAAATAGGTTGCATTTTTTTATGATTTGACTTAATAATGATTATTACTATAAATAATTATGACTTAATAATAAAAAAGTAATGTGTTATAAAAATAAAAATACAAAGTTCCAATACGAGGCCCTCTCGCGTGTTAAGTAAAACTCTAGTGAAAGCAACTCCGTGTATCATGTTGGTTTCAATGTGTTTTATGAGTGCTAGTTTTTCATTAAATCCAAGTTGACTCCTTTCTGAACTTGGTACATCAGTAAAAAAAAACAAAAAAACATTCTCTCTAGAGAACTAACAGGAAGGGGAGGTGGCTGGCTTAAGAACTTGTTTTTTGGGTAACAACCTCCTTATTCACCTGGTCGGCTTGATACGTGCGAGGTCCCCACGATCAAGGCCTGTTAATTCTAGTAATTCGGTGACACTCCAGCGTCCCAAAAATGATGTATACACCTGCTATGAGTTACTACCGTTTGTATATGTCATTTTTGGGGACAACTATATACATAATGCATTATGCGCTTCTCAGCGAGGAATATTAAATTAGTGAACAACTCTTAGTAGATATTGGTTACAATAAATTAATCAATCGTCTGAATTGGCTGGGCCATGTCCGACAATTTAAGTATCTATTAAACCCGATGGCAGGAGGTGGTTCGGTGCAGGAGGCGCGTCAGTTACTGATTGACCTCAGCCACTCACGCATCTCCCGCAACGAACAGCGTCAGTTAACCGTCAGCAACTGACGCTAAGCGTCAGTTTTTGACGAGAAAATTCTCGTCAGCAATGAGTCACACTTGTATAGAAGCGTCTTGTATCGGCAAGCTCAATCTAACTAAAACAAATGTGCGGTCCTTTTCGATACAAATGTGCGCGCAGCTAAGGCAACGCGCAATTTACTTTGGTGGATGCCGAATGTTTTTTGTTTTTTTTTCGAGCAGCCTCCACAGATTTGTACTAAACAGGAATCAGAGAGGCTGACGGACGCTGCGAAAGATGTAATGATAAGATTGAGGCTTGTTTTTAAACATTTTGAAGATTTTTCTAATATATAAATTAACTTCCAGGAGCTCTTATTCCTTAGAAAGATCGATCACAAAAAGGCCATATGGGAATTCTTAAATAAATAAACCGTTTTTAATTTGCCTAGACACGAATTAGCACAGCCACTCCGTGATAAGGCGTCTACTGCTGAAATCCTACCAGCGCAGTCACAGGGGGGTGCCCGCGAGGTGGCGCCACCAAAACATGTCGTCACCAATGCACCAACTCAACTCTCTTTGACGTCGCGACACTGCGGCGGTGCTGCTGTCGGTACTTAACGTGCGGAAACACCTTTGAATCTTGCTTCCACGCGTCCGCAGTGCCTACACCTAGATTGGGCAAACCGGGACGGGTGTGTAAGCAACGTATTGGTTTATCTTGCAAACCTTGTGAAGAGTACGATATTTGTGACTATGTACTAATCTCTAATATAAAGTTCATAAAGTTCGTATTATCGGCACAAAAAATGAAGAAAAAACGGAACAAAGCAGACATCAACATGAGCGCGCGTTCCTCTAGTTTCCGCACAGTATAAACATCGCATGCTATAGGAACGCCGCTGGGGAGACGAAACAAAAATGGCACCGCCCATGAGTACTAAGGACATGCCGTGATCCGTTTGTTTTTTTTTTTTTTGAAGCGAAGCAATGCCAAGAATATTCATTCCAATCTGGGAGCGTTGTTCAGGGACAACGCCCCAGCTTACGACACTTTTGGTTAAATGGCACAAACGCTTCTAGTGTCGCCAAATAAGTGGAAAGCATTTCAAGGATGGCCACCAAGTGATTGCTGAAGTGAAGTGATTCCTGAACACTCAAGACGAGGAGTTCTATAAGAGAGGCCTCTGGCATGTGGTGCATCGCTAGAAAAAGTGGGTAACATTTGGTAGGGAACATGTTGAGAGAGTCTCAACTCCTACTCGAGTGTGATTGCTGAATCTCTATTCCTTCGTGCCAATAATACGAACTTCATGAACGCTCCTCCTAGTAGGCTGGATCGCGGATCAGGAGCCCGTCGGTGGCATCACCGGCGGCCATTGCTTGACACCAGTCGAAACAGGCAAGTATACGGCGGAAACACATAAAAGTGTTTTATGATGTGCTGTGATCATTATATTGGGTGTTCGGAGATCGAATCGGTATTTGTCAAGCGATCGAACGCTGATTAAAATCAAACGTGCCGGAGCACCAACGGCTCAGCTGGCAAGATTGCTCTCGAAGTGTAGTAGTTAAAGGAACTTGTCGTCAATAAGAACGTCCTTGGAGAAGCCCAGGAGTTCATGAATGTCTAGAAAGTTGCAACTTGACAGCGACTTTTTGGGAGCGAATTCCGCGAAGCAACGCCATCAAGATTGTCGTCTGCTGAACGCAACTCATCGAAATCGTCATTGACTCCACGGTAAGTTTGGGTAACACTCGACTTATTAAGCTGCACTAACCTTTTCGGCCAGCCCAGTGACTCTTGACCACGAAACAGTTATTTATAAAAGGTGGGGGCTGTCGGTTTTAATGTGTGCAAGAGCTATGTTACTGTCTTCCCGAAAAGCAGACAAAAGGTTTCATCGCCGACCACAACTTTGAAACTAGAAAAACTGCACTTTTTATGCTTTTCCCATAGAGTCAAAAGCACTAGATGGTGCCAAATGATGGCTGCCGGTTGGTGCCTCTCGATACCAGCAAAATACGCCTCGATCTATGATCCAGCATAGAATATAAATCAGTGGACTATGGTGCCTGCGGCACGTCTCGGACTAGTGTGTTTAGCGTCCTATGCTGCCCCTACTTCAAGAATAAATTTTTGTTTAAGTTACGTGACGTCCACTTCCCGCTAAATATAACACAGAAACTTGTTTGGTGTAGATGTCACGGTACCTAGGGACGTCAAGCAACGCCAGGTCAATTTTATCACTAAATTTAGCGGGTAACTTTACAGACAGAAAGATAGACGTAAATTTTAGTAGGATAGGGGGTTCGGTGAAAAAGCATTTTCTGCTCTTAATAAAGAGTTTTAAAACTATTTGGGTGAGAATAACCGTTTTTACTTACCCTTCACAATCTTGACCTTTCCATAAGGTGGGTGGATTGCCTGCGATATCTCCCACATTAAAGAAAATGCCACCAAAGCGTAGAACAGAGTTGTCGGAATTCCCATCTTAACGCCCGTCGGTTTTCTTGTGAGCCTGAAAGCTGAGGTACGCTAGTGCCTTCTTTTATCTGGAGAGTACCAATCTTAGTTTTTTACAAAAAAAGACAACAAAAATATTTATGTGTCTTTTTTTTTTTTTTTTTTCCACGCCTCCGTCAGTGATTCGTTAACCGCCTGCAAAAAATGCGCCGCGGCGTACCTTGAGTTATAAGTTATGACGGACAAAAAAGCGAACGCAATTTTCAGGCGGCAAACAATCTTAGTTCACACAAATATCTCTCTTCCCAGATGTCACAACAGACATTCTCATCCGTGAAAAATAAATCACCTGAACGTGTACGATTCTTTCTAATTACTATTCCATGAATGGGTAATAACTTTTTCGTGCTGTTCCGTTGATTGCGAAAACCCAAGATGAATCCTCTTTGTGTTAGAGTGTTGGGCTGAAAGAGACCGACGCATGATATTTTGCCGTCGGCTCGTACGCTATTCACTCTTTCTAAAATCTGATTGGCGCCCCTTCAATTCACGCGCACGATTGTTCCAGCTGTTGAAGCATAAATAACAGTTGTGTGATATAAAAAAAAAAAAAAGATAAACGCACTTCTCTTAATCCGTGCTTATACTAAATTCGGAACTCTCGGTGGAACGCTTTCGCGGCTGTTGATTGTATATTTAGACTGTTATTTGTCTCCGTTTTTTTTGTGTTTTATGCAAGACGTGCTCCTGAGAAAGTGAAAGAGGGTATGTATGCGCTTTTGATGGTGTGTGCATATGCTTTTTTTTGTTTGTGTGTTTGCGTGCGTTAATTCGTGGCCGAGAGTGTAATGAATTCTTATATAGAATGAATTATGTACGGCAGGCACCTAATCGTTTCCGGTTCCGCACTCATATAACGGAGGCAGTCGGATGACTACAGCGTCAGCGTTCCCCTGAAGCTCGTGCGTTGACCTCTTCAACATTATCACCGGGCGAACCCTGCCGTGGCACCCGTGTTGTTACTCAAGTTCTAAGTGAAAGCAAAAATGAAGAAAAATAAAATGTGTCTTTCTTCCTGCACCATAAAACGGAATAACAGTACTTAACCAAATAAAAATAAATAGGGCATATGTCCAAAAAAAGAAATTTTGATTTTAAAGTGACTAGAAAAAAAAATAAATATCGGGCAGCGAAAATACTAGGGTACGGGCTTGTGTTTTGTCAGCGCCCTTTTTTCTAGCAGAAAATAAGGGTAAAAATCGCGTAGTTTCGAATATTCTTTTCATTTAGTTTTGTGCCATCTTGGTCTTGTGTCTTTGTTGAGACAACGACAAGGTTTCTTCACTGTTTTTTTTTTTTTTTTTTGCTTGTGTAATTATTTTTATTCAGTTATATTAAAGAAGACACATATTTAATAATGGGTTTATTAAGGAATGATGGTTCGTCCATTTTATTATTTAAGAGTTATTCTTAATTACTCTTCCGAACTTTTCCTTTTTCTGTTTTCTTTTGTGTTGTATTCTAGAGCTAAAATTTTGACATAATGAATTTAAATATTTTTTTCCCATTAAGTTGTTACATAGCCGTAACGGTTTGTGGTCCGCTGAGTGATAGTATTACTTCCTTTTAAAAGGCATATGCTTTTTCTTGTATTCCATCCGATAAACCTCTATGTAATGCAATACAAACTTTTTTTCAGGGCCCTGCTTTGTTCCCTCCATACCTACACTAGACCAATTCAAAACAAAGTCCTTTTCAGGCATCCGCACCGAACCTCCCCACTTTACTCTCGGTACCTGCTTTTCTCCTCGTCCGTCCTCTTTAAGAATCGAAATGTATACTCATAATAACCTATTTTTTCCTTTGAAGCTTTTGCCATTTCCTTTCATTCTTTTTTTTAAATTTTACTGAGTAAGGTAATATTTATATTAGTTTGTGCAGTCTCTTACTTTAATGAACATGTCTTTCCCCCATCTTCACAGAAAGAAAAGCAATAAGACTTTTATGTTTAAGCTAAGAGGAAGCCCGAAGCTGCGGAACTAGTCCGCGCCGCCCTATCTACGTATTCAGGGGTCCTTCATGCCATGCCACCTTTTAACTCTATCTCTAATGGGAAGCGAGGCTTAGGAACTGCTTCATACCCTCCTGACATTAAAAAGGGTCTTCCTTAGGCGTGCATGATCTTAAAGCTTAGTGAATACTCTTTGCTGCGGAACTAATCCGCACACCTTAAGTTGGTAAACACTGGGATCTCTCTTTATGTCTTGCACACAATATAGTTTTTGAGTTTATAGGAAAGCCGGATGTTGGATGTTCTCGTCTCCTCCGATATTACAAAGGTTTCTTTTGGGCATGCCTTCAATCTCAACAGTATGTCACTTCCAGGAATTCGTTTTTAACCAGCCTCAAGTAAGCTTGATTTTTGTTTTTCGCGTATTCCTTTCTGTTTTCTTTTGCTCGTGCTGTGCTTCTGACTTTACTGACTGAACACGTGACGCAGCTGAACGCCTTGTTTTAGTAGATTCGGGATATTTCCTGCTGATTGTTGGAACAAAGCTAGAGCAACTCCAGTAACTCCCTATTCTTACCCAGGTTGCACCGTTCTCTGGGCCAAACCATGGTTTTGTTCGGCAAGTTAGTGCCACAAAAGTGAAGCAAAGGCCAAAGTGTACCTATAACTGGGGTAGGAAAACACAAAAAAAAGGGTGTACGGGGGTGCATCGCGCACCCTTACACCCCGGTTCGGTCAGAGACACCTGGCGGCGGCTCAAACGGTGTACTTGTGCTCCCACCATGCCCCTCCTCCTCTCTCAACGCAATCGGCGGGTGCACGGTGGGTGTACCGGTATACCATTGCGACCGCCATCGACCAGCCATCTAGATTGAATTCTAATGGATATAGGAATACCTCCTATCTGATCTTTCAAAAGAAATAATGCCGCTAAATTAAGTAATATGTTCATATACTTCTCGAGCCCCAATAATGGTCTGTCAGAACAATATTTGGCGTGGCATTAGTTACAGTAAGAATTAGGTTTTTGTCTATTATTTTAACGGATTTTGGAGTGCAACTAGAAAACAATCGAACGGCAGGACCCCAGCAGTCATGTCAGCTGTATCATAACTTGTACATCTCCGAGTGACTTGCCATCCACCTCTAAACCAGTTCCGCCAAATTGATTCGTTTATTTTCTACCTGTTAATGTGCAATTTTAATTAATCGGGCGGTCAACCTTTGCTTACGAAAGGAAATCTCGTCCCAGCGTGAGCTCCGTCGCCCAGCGGCCCAGTCAACCAGTCGAAGCATGTGTGTGTGTTGTGCATTTCTCCGATCTGAACCACCCGTTGCGGCGTGTGGTGTTTTCGTGTTTTGTGTCATGGAGCGTATGTGATGCCCATGCCCTTGATCAAGTGAGTCTACATGTGCAAAGCAGCTCAAAGACGGCTTTCCGAGGACGCGATAGGCCTCGAGTCGGGCAAACGCCGCACCCGCTTGCGCGTAGCGCCGGAAAAGGTCGGAAGTTCGATGATGCGCGTAACGACTAAATTGGAATTGAGACGAGCGTCATCATGTCGTAGTCGTGCGTATCGGCAGCTGTTCCCGCTTCTAAGATGTTAGTCATACTCTCACGGCCGTACTTTGGCACCTCCCCCCGTAAAGGTAAGCCATAAAACGTGATTGAAGCCAAAGTGTAGGGGTCGCCCCGAAACAGTGAATGCATGGCGTTTGTTGATTGTGCTCAACACTTTGACCGACCGCTCATTTTGTTTTCACGTTCAGTAACGTTGGTGCGACGACTTGAGTAAAAAATAAAGCTCAGATATGCAAATGATCTCCGTCCTCTTCTTGTTTTTGAAGACATCATGATGCCGCTTACTATTAACAACAACTGCACCACACTGCAATTTTTTTTTTTTTTTTTTTTTACGTCCCGCCGGTTACATTTTGTGCTCTGGGTTGTACGACCGGGCACAACCGATTATCTTCGAAGGCGACTTGAGGGGTAGCATTGGTAAACAAGTGCTTATCTCTAGCTAGCGCAATTTCTCACCCAATTATAGAGGTTCATCCGCATTTTTTCATCGATACACTCCTTGCTTTTCTGAACGCACAGCAGAATTTACGGGTAGGAGCAAGAGGGTGAATGTCGGCTTGCTCTTGAGGCGGGTCGTCAGATGATTTCATTTATTCATTCTCTCCATCAAATTGTCTTGAGTGGGGTCCCGTTCCTCCAACGGCACCGGGATCACAGCCGCCACTAGCGGATAGATCGAGGTGCTCACGGTGACTCCGGTAGAGGTGGCAGCTATAAGAGACGGCGGTCTGGAACTTCTCGGAGCAGTGATCCATGCCACATAGAACTGTCGAGTTGATCGAACGATGCTCTTTTGCGGCATGATTAACAATTTAATCATGCCGTAAAAGAGCATCGTTCGATCAACTCGGATTAGCTTCGCCGCGAAAAACGTGCAAAATGGGCAATGCCAAAGCGTTATTCTGAGCACCTAGTGCAGCTCTCCTGAAATTGCATCACATTAACACAGCAGCCCCTGGGCGCCGAAAGAATCCATGCTAAAATCGGCTGAAATCAAGCTGAAATAGGGGCAGACGGTAGCACGGTATACAAGCGTCGAGCAACGGATGGGTAAATGGCAGCGGTACCCTTTCTAACAGGCGGTAGCTTGCGCCATCTAGCCTGTACTGCAACTATACTTCAGTGTCGCTCGGTTTCTGTGATTGTACTCAGTTATATCGTCCGTTGTTTTAAATCGTAATAGATATCAGTTATTGCAAACGATATTTCGAAATTCGTAAAAAAAAAGAAGAAATAAACGTCTGCGACCGTTTCTTTTTATGTATTGAGTGTGAGCTGATGAAGGTTACCGCAGTTAATTTCTCGCGGGAAACGGGAAGCGTACGCTCGTTCGTTCTCTCTTCGTGATCTTCAGGTCAGCGCAGATTAGCTTCCCTTTTGTCTTCAAATAGGTTTCAGGTAAGCTCGTTCTTTACTTTAACGCAGTTTTGT